AGAGTGAAGTTAGTAGTAAACAAGCAACTAAAAAAAGAACAAAGAAGAAACTACATACCTTCGAAGGTGCCGCTTCGTACTTATATATTCACCCAGCACTGATTCATATTAGCGAAGCCTAAAAACCTGAAAAAAGAATAGTGTAGTAGAAAAAAAGCAAATAAAAAATAACAAAGAGGAAAATATATACCTTCCCAAAAGTGGCACTTATACGTTTGCCCGGGTGCTGATTCATGTCTGGCGAAGCCCAAAAACTTAAACAAAGAAGAGTGACGTTTGCAAACAATAACTAAAAAAAGAAAAAAGAACGACCAAAAAAACCAAATGTCTTACCAAAACTGCCATCTCACATTTGCTATGTTCTAGCAAAGCTTTTAAAAAACCTAAAAAAAAAACTCACCAAAATCAGTTAAAAAAAAAAATAATCTAAATGTGATAGGGGATCTGTCAAATACTCTGGACTTATATCGATAGTCGAATCAATATACTAAATGGTGGTCATGTGATCTTGCTACGTTTTAATTGATTGGAAAGGCCAGAGATATATAACTTATATATCTTTGGCCAGAGATGCCTAGAAAAACCCTTTCTATAAATGCACACCCTCTCTAAGTGCATGCTACAGGCTAGTCCTAAGGGTGTGCACTTAGAGAGGTTTCACTGTATTTTTTCTTATGCTACTACAACAATTGACAGTATTTCAAGTCTTTCTGATGACTATACTTGTCTTTTGTGTTTATTTATTATCTACCTCCCAAAAATATCTGACAAATTACCATTATAATTGGTAGAATATTTGTGTTGGTTACGTGTGTGTATTTATAGAGGGTGCACGTATAGGACCGGGCTATAAAAACCTATGCACGTGCAGAGGTTGGAGGGTACGCTTAGCATTAAGTCCCAAGCTTGGGACTGGGCTATAGTGTGCACTTAAAGAGGGTGTGCACTTAGGGAGGGTGCACTTAAGGAGATTTCACTGTATCTAACATGTTCATTGTAAAAAAAAAGAAGAAAAATGTCAATTGATTTAACAACTTCATGTTGTAATGGCAGGCGCACAAATGCTTGATGTAGTAGTTTCGAATGAATGTATGGGTCAAAATTGGGTGGCGGAGGAAGCTTTTGTTGTGTAACTTCTGCTGATTTGCATTTTCTTTTGCAGGCACTTGAAGTATCTACTTCTACATAATCATCATCACTATGATCCGAATCCTGGTTTTCCAAAGAAGTTCAGTGAAAGGTTAAAAGTGGCATATATTCTTCCTCACTATCTGGATATTCAATGTCTTCAGTGTCTTCAATAAGAAATGAGGTTGAACTTGAAGCCAATGAACTTGGCCCAGTTGCAGAAGACATGTTTTTTTTTTTTTTTTTTTTTAATTGTACGTTAACTTTTTTTTTTTTTATCATGTCTTCATCTTGACTTAGTAAAAATGCTTTATTTGGCTAATTTATTTAAATTCAAAGTGATTCTTCATTCTTCATTTGATAAGTTTTTTTTTTTTCTGCCTTAATACAAATGAATAATTATTGGATTGTTTGATCAAGTTCTAAATGTTGGTAATTTGCGATTCTTTAAATCTGCATGCAAGCGATCTTAGATATTTATTTGAATGCATCGTTGTCACGTGATAGATGCCGTGAGATAAGATTCAGAATACTGATATGGTATGTTTCAATTACAGCATAGAAAAAGGGGGGTAAGACTTAATAAAATTGGGAGAAATTGTGCAAAAATAGACCCGTAAAAATTTAAGCGTACATATATGTACGCTTGATGGTTTAAGGGATAAACAATTTTAAAATTTTGTCTTATAATATAAATACAAATACTACAAAAATATAATCTTTATTTTTAAATATTATTATATTAAATTTTATTTAAATATTTTAATTAATAATTTGCTAGTTAATAGAAGAATAAATATAGTGTAATATGATGCAAATCACTATATAAATTTAATATAGTATAATCTGTCAAAACCAATATGTATAATAGACCAAATTTGTATCAAATTTGACAGGTTAACAGGTTTGAAAAATAAAATTACTATATTTAATTAAGAGATGGTAAATTAATTTTTTATCAGTTTTGACAGGTTATTAGTTTTGATAGTATCGATTTTGACAAGTTATACTGTATAAGGTAAATCTGAAAAATTTCTACTATTTATCTAATAAAAACTTTTTTTTATAATAAGTTAATTGTTCTTGTCAATTAATTAAGAGTAAAGTAAATGATTTTTATTTTTAGTAGTAATCACTTGACAAATATAGTAAAAGTTAATTTTTATATGTTTTTACTATTTAATTTGTCTAGATAGTACAAGAATTTGTCTAGATAGTACAATATAAATAATATATAATTATTATCTAATTTTAATTAAATATTATTATAAAAAATTTAATAATATAATTGTTATTAAAAATATAGATCTTTTACTCTACTCTTAAAAGTTGTAGAGCTTATCTTTGCAGTTCTAATAGTGGTTAAATCATCCAAATTGGCCTAGTGGATACTGAGATATCTTTAAAAAATATATTAATAACTATATATAAAATCTCTATATAAATAATATATTGTTTGTATAGAGATTTTATATAGTTATTAACACGTTTTTTAAAGATATTTTGGCATTCACTAGGCCGATTTGGATGATTTAACCACCATTAAAACCACAAAGATGAGCTCTACAACTTTTAATTAATTAACAAAGTTAATTAACTTAGTACAAAAAAAGTTTTTTTTAGATAAACAGTAAAAATTTTTCGGATTCACTCTATATTGGATTTATATAGTAATTTGTATTATATTATACTATGTTTATTTTTTTATTAAATTAACTAGTAGATTATTAATTAAATAATTAAAAAAGTAGATCAAAAACATATTTATAGTAATTATGCAGCCAAATTTATTTGCAAATCTTTACTAATTAAGAGATAGTATTAAAATTATATATTTTATAGACTGTAAATATTGTAAAAATTATAATTAAGACGGCAGCTAGTGTGGAACCTAGGGCAGACTACTTAAATAGGCAACCAAAAGTTGCATGTATGGCTAGTCGTACTCT